CTGCCAGGGCTACTGGAGGAACAACGCGCTGGGGGGGGGCGCCCTGTGGCACAGGCCCGGCAACAGTTTTTGACCTGGAGCCGCTTCAGAAATGTTTGAACTGGCCTTGGGCTGCCCTGAAAGGGGCGGAGCCTCTGGTGCAAGGGGCGGGGCCAGGACACTTCCCTGGACACACACCCTGATTGTTGTGTTGGGGGTGTGAAGTCTTTGTCCCCAGAGCCCCCATCCCCAATCATCAACTGTTCAGAACAGTTGGTGGGCAACAGTTTTTGACCTGGAGCCGCTTCAGAAATGTTTGAACTGGCCTTGGGCTGCCCTGAAAGGGGCGGAGCCTCTGGTGCAAGGGGCGGGGCCAGGACACTTCCCTGGACACACACCCTGATTGTTGTGTTGGGGGTGTGAAGTCTTTGTCCCCAGAGCCCCCATCCCCAATCATCAACTGTTCAGAACAGTTGGTGGTTCCCTTTAGGAGCCCACCACCTGGTGGTTGGAGGAGACTGTGCACTCCCCCCTCCCCCTTTCCTCCAAGTTAGTTGGGGGGGAGTGCGTGCACAAAGCCTCCTCCCGCCCTGTCCTGCAAGGGGTGTACAAGGCTTAAAGTCAACTGCCAGCTGCTCAGAGGCAGCAGCAGAAGTTGGGGGCGGGTGGGAGGCAGTGCTTGCAGGGTGCTGGCTACTTCCCTCCTTCCCAGCTCCCTGTGTAAACATGTAACTGCTGAAAATGTCAAAGGTTACACGTTTACAAAAGAAAACACATTTTAACATTCTTTCTCCATGGCTGTGTCTAAACTGGCCACTTTTTCCGGAAAAGCAATCGCTTTTCCGGAAAAACTTGCCAGCTGTCTACACTGGCTGCTTGAATTTCTGCAAAAGCACTGATGATCTCATGTAAGATTGTCAGTGCTTTTGCGGAAATACTATGCTGCTCCTGTTTGGGCAAAAGTCTTTTTCAGAAAAACTTTTGCGCAAAAGGGCCAGTGTAGACAGCACGGTACTATTTTCCGCAAAAAAGCCCCGATTGCGAAAATGGCCATTGGGGCTTTTTTTGCAGAAAAGCGTGTCTAGATTGGCCACAGGCGCTTTTCAGCAAAAAGTGCTTTTGCGGAAAAGCGTCCTGCCAATCTAGACGCGCTTTTCCAAAAATGCCTTTAACGGAAAACTTTTCTGTTAAAAGCATTTCTGGAAAATCATGCCAGTGTAGACGTCGTCCATGTGTTTATTTAGGGCTTGGTTCAGGATGTCAAATTTGGGAATTAATTGCAGTCTGTTTTTGGAGGTTTTTTTTTTTTTTTTTTGGCCAGAGAATAGCAATGTGCAAGTCTGAAACTGCATGATATTTATGACATAATTTAGGAGTTGGCAACACTGGAAATACTTTTTCTTGTATCAGCTTTCTCTGGGCCAGGTACAAGCTTTTGAGTTTCATGGAGAGCTCTTCTTCAGGGCTTAAGTACAAATAGTTTACACACTGAAATGGAATCCATAATTAGGCACAGACATATTCCCCACAGTCACATTGGGGGTATGGAGTGGAGTGGGAGATCCCTGTGGGGAGATTGAAATATAGGGAGCTGGGCTTAGGCTTGGCTGTGTCACTAATTGGGCTTGTCAGCTATGCTTATATGTCTGAGTTCCCTCTCTGGTATTCTGCATCACCCTAGTTTGAAGAGGACACTGAAGAAGCTGGAGGAGGCCCAGATGGTGGACAGGGCAAGAGGAAGAGGCTGTTCTCCAAAGAGTGTGAGTTTGCCATCCATGTGTCTGGGTCAGTAAGGAGGTGGACCCTCACCTTAGGCTCTCGGACAACTGCATTTGGCTTCGCTTCTATGGAGGTTATAGTCTATTTTAAATGAGGATATGACTGTAAATCACAATAAGACAGTAAAAGTGACAGACCACAGGAGTTCTGTGAGAGTCTTACACTGGAGTGGATGGGAGAGCTTTCTGAAGTCCATTTATTGGGTCCAAGGCAAAGCAGATGCGATAATGACTGCCAGTGGATCGATTGATGTGATGGAGATGAGCCCTTAGTTTGGTTGAAGAATTTAGTGCATGTTGCTAAGTGTCCTGTATAATGGGGAGCTCTTTCAATGATACCATGTTTTCTGTTTCCCCAGTAAGATGTATGATGTATGGGTTTGGAGATGACCAGAATCCCTACACAGAGTCAGTGGATATTCTTGAAGACCTGGTGATAGAGTTTATCACAGAGATGGTAGGTTCTATTAAGACATCTGCTTACTTTGTTTCTAGACTGTAATGACTATAGAGATCAGTCCATTTAAAAAGAACTCCTAATTGGACAATGGTTAGGAAAGTCCTTCCAGTGGAAGGGACTGAGTTAGTTTTTTAAAGAACCCAAAAGTAGGGTTGGTTTATTTCCCTTAAAAAGCAAAATAAAAAAGTAATGAAGTTTAAACCATTAATAAAGGTCGTCTCGTGCCTGTCTGGTTAAATATCTAATTTGCATTCTGGTGGTCACTAACCCTTCATCCTTCCAAGGTTGATAATCTAGTCTATTCAACACTGTGTAAAACATTTCTATATGGTACTTGTAAAGGGAAACAGTGTCCTGCATGCTCTGCGTGGACTTTAGATTCCATTTCTATTGTAATAGAAGATTCATCTTGTGGCCCTTAGCCAAGGATTCCTGAATTCCATTTTTAACAGAACTATGTAATTCCTCTTCTGGGGTAGAGGAGTTTTATGTACTGTTCTGTTTAATTTCATCTGCTTTCTAAGTACTACCTCTGGAAATGGGACACAGAAAGGGATCATGTTCTCTCCCTCTGGGGCAACTAGTATTGGCCACTGTCGGCAGGCAGGATACTGGCCTAGATGAACAGTTGGTCTGACCCAGTATGGCTGTTCTTCTGTTGTAGCAGGTTTAAAACGAATAAAAGAAAGTTCTTCTTCTTCTTCACACAGCGTGTAGTCAACCTGTGGAACTCCTTGCCAGAGGAGGCTGTGAAGGCTAGGACTATAACAGAGTTTAAAGAGAAGCTAGATAATTTCATGGAGGTTAGGTCCATAAAAGGCTATTAGCCAGGTGATAAAATGGTGTCCTTGGCCTCTGTTTGTCAGAGGCTGGAGAGAGAAGGCAGGAGACAAATCGCTTGATCATTGTCTTCGGTCCACCCTCTCTGGGGCACCTGGTGCTGGCCACTGTCGGTAGACAGGATACTGGGCTAGAAGGACCTTTAGTCTGACCCAGTACGGCCATTCTTATGTTCTCCTCTCTATATCATTTTGCAGGTTAGGCTTGTTTTCCTGTGCACTTGCTGCTCCTCTGATTTTGATGTCACCTGCCAGTTTGATTATAATTCACTATATACACACACAATGCTCAGTGAAGGCACAAAGCAGCTATGCAGGATGCAGAGATAGGCTTGGCTTATGGGTTTTATGTTTTAATTACTTTGACAAAGTATCTTAAAACATAGCACTTATGTCAGTTGCCAGGAAATAAGATTTCATTTAAGAGTTGTGGAGCGGGATGCCTACTGACTAGCACAATGGATCCTGATCCATGAATCTTGCTCCTAGCTGTATGGTAATTCAAATATTAAATAACTGGCAGGAAACATTGCTGCTTAAAGACTGATTTCACCACTGTGTAAATCAGGGATGGGGAACCTAAGGCTTAGGGGCCAGATATGGCCCCCAACTTGTCTGTATCTGGCCCCTGAGGCTTGGGGCTCCCCTCCTCAGTACTGGGGTGCCTATGGTTGGTGTGCCAGTCCCTCTGTTGTCCCCCCATGGGGCTGGAGCACACAATCTACTAGTCTGGACACCCCTGGGCTCTGGTGCAAGAGGGATGTGGGGGGGATTTCTCCTTTTCAGTTGGGGCCATGTCAGTGAGGGATTGGGGTTTTTTTGGTTTTGTTTTGCTTCTCACTTATGTGTGGCCCCCAATTGACTTTTTTTCTGTTGGTCAGTGGCCCCTGGCCCAAAAAGGGTTTCCCACCTGCGGTGTAAATGGATCACCTAGAGAGATTCTCCTGACCATAGCCTAGCTAGGATGGTGGCTTTCAGTCTCTGAAACTAATGGTTTTCTCTTCAAAAGTGAGAAGTAAAACTGCTTGTTAGACGGTGCCCTGGCACTGTTTCTAAAAACAGTAAGGTAACTTATAACAGGGAAAAGGGACCATACATTTTCATTAAATCACTTAAATGTTTTTTAACAGACTCACAAGGCAATGTCAATTGGACGGCAGGGTCGTGTGCAGGTTGAGGACATTGTCTTTTTGATCCGCAAGGATCCACGGAAGTTTGCCAGAGTAAAAGATCTGTTGACTATGAATGAAGAACTGAAACGGGCCAGGAAGGCCTTTGATGAAGCAAACTATGGATCTTGATGCATTTGTATGTGCAGAGATGGTAACCTGTAGCCATGTTTATCCCTATACATTTTTAGCATGTTTTTCAATACTGGAAAAACTAACTCCCTACCGACTTCTATTTGTTTTCGTGGCTTTTAGGATGGATCTCAGTGCTGGAGTGTTTGCCTAGGTTTTAGCATTGCCAAACAAGCCTATAACATTTTGTAAACGTCTCTTAATGTATGTATTGTCTTAATGTACGTTTGGTTTTTTTTTGGGGGGGGGGGCTTACAGTATTTTAAGAAAAGACAGGAGGAGCCCAAATTAGAAGTGCTTCATGCATATCTGTAGCAACTCTAGTTTTGAGCTTTGCAATCTGTCACATACCAGATGACTAGAAAGCTAAATGGGAACAGGTGCTTGGCATCTGTGCTGTAGTTCTCATTGGTTTCAGATACCCTTCACCTAATCCACCTTAAGTAGATTTCAAAGGAATAATTGAAAACAGTCAGTGCCTGCATCTATTTGTGCTAGAAGGTGTTGATTATAGTGTTGTTACTCAAAATATTGGTATTTGCTTTTCTTTATAGGGGTATTTATGAACAATAAAATATTTTCATGGTTCACTCACTCCTCTTGTTTTGGGTCTGGTTTTAAATATATTCAAGGCACATGATAAAGAATAACTTATTTGCACTGAAATGGTGTATGTCCAGTAGTCTTCGGCCCACAATAGGGTCTTAATCTACTATGAATGTTTTCATGGAAATGGCTTAACTTTTTTTTGTACGCTGCCAAAACTATTAGAGAGGATGCTGACTTCTTAGATTTAGCTTCACAGTTAGCTGTGACTCTAGGCTCACCTCCTATAGATTTAACTGCACTCGAATAGTTCCCTCCACAAAGTATTATAGAAAGACAAGACTGAATTTCCAGGCATTTATTGGTCAAGAGGAAGCAATCGGGGCTGAATAAACAGCAGGCTACAGCTTCCTTCTAGAATCTAGCATAATAGAAAAAGCTTAATGATGCTATTACTTCCTTTAATAACTTTAATTGAATAGTTCTTTGTAATGGTGGAAGATCTAACTGCTCTGGTGTTTCACAGCTGGTTTAATGTCTGAAACATTATACTAGTGGGAGTCTTTTATACTTAGGTTTGAATTCCACCATGGTTGACTTGCCTTTCATTCTTAAGACACAAATTGTTATGTATGTTTTACTGAGTTCTACTGCAGAAGGTCATAAACCGAACCCTTGGTATTTAGTAGAAATACTACAGATCCGATGGTATTTCTTTTGAAAGAGTCGGTATTACCATATTTACCCCTCTAGCCCACTGGTGACATTGTGATTGCATAATGATAGCTTTTAAGTGCTATTAAATCTTCTAAAAGAAAGGTGTTAAACGGATTTATAATCTAGTGTATGGTCTCCCCCTGAAATTCTCACTGCAGTCACACTGCTAAGAAGAAATAACGAGCACTCCTGTGGAAACCTTAGACACTAACATATATAGTATCATGAATTTATCAGATGAGTAGTGGATTTTACCCACAAAAGCTCATGATTTTTGTGTGTGTGTGTGTGTCTGTCTGTCTGTCTAAGGTGCCACAGACTAACATGGCTACCCCACTGACATTTTCAAAAAATGAGAGCTTCATCTGAGAGTGGTTTGCTATATTATGTTGCAGGATTACTCAATCCTATTGCCTAGTATTTAACCTTGTAAACAGCCTAGAGAACCTATCAATCTCTATTTGTATGTAAAGAAAATAAAATCACAATGAGGGAGGGGAGGGAATAACCTTTATGCCCGTTTCAGGAGTTGAGTAGTTAATCTGAAAGCCAGATGCCATTAAATAGAAATCTGTTGAATAAAACATGCCCCTCTCTTCCCATACCTCAACAGTCTTTATTTCAAATAAATGTCACTATGACTGTGTCTAGACTGGCCAGTTTTTCCGGAAAATCAGCCACTTTCCCGGAAAAACTTGCCAGCTGTCTACTCTGGCCACTTGAATTTCCACAAAAGCACTGACGATCTCATGTAAGATTGTCAGTGTTTTTGTGGAAATACTATGCTGCTCCTGTTGGGGCAAAAGTCCTTTTGCGCAAAACTTTTGTGCAAAAGGGCCAGTGTAGACAGCCCAGATTTGTTTTCCACAAAAAAGCCCCGATCGCGAAAATGGCGTTCGGGGCTTTTTTGCGGAAAAGCGCGTCTAGATTGGCACGGACGCTTTTCCACAAAAAGTGCTTTTGCAGAAAAGCGTCTGTGCCAATCTAGACGCTCTTTTCCGAAAATACTTTTAACAGAAAACTTTTCTGTTAAAAGCATTTCCGGAAAATCATGCCAGTCTAGACGTAGCCTATAAGTAAATCTACCTTTAAGACCAATGGGCATGGCGCTGTATTCAATGTGAAGTTCACAGGAAAAGCTAGGGATATTTAAGAAGTAGCACTGAGCATGAAAAAGCAAAGCTACCCCAGCCTTATGTTTTTCTTGGAGGCATTATTGTAAAGGTGGGTTTTAAAGAAGCATGTGCACCTAGATTTTATGTGTATTAGAGTGCCTAGCAGTTCCAGTTGTGGACCCAGGACTCTCTTGTGTCAGGTACTGTATGATAGGAGGGTATTCCTTACACCTCCAGTGTTCCTCTAGGTCAGCGTTTCCCAATTCTATTTGGCCATGGAACCCTTTTAAACTTGAAAGAATTTCAAGGAGCCCCCTAAATAAGTGTCATATATATGGAGCTGAAAAAGTAGACCACAAATAAGTAAGGTTAATAATAAACACATGCTAAACAAGATCATGAGATCAACATTTAGTTTAATCACACATATTTAAACATCACACAATGTGTACAAAAAATAAAGCTCAAACTAAGACACATTATATTGGCAGTTTAATACAAACAGTGTTTTTTCTTTTTCTTGGCAAATTCTTTTTATATTTGGCTTAATACTGGAAAGTTGGATTTGCATATCTGGTGCGGCATTCAGTCCATTTCCGTATTTTGTTTTTGTTGCGTAATTTGAGAGCCCAGTTTCACACAAATATGTGCTGGCAAAAAGTAACAACTGACAAATTGCCCCTCTTGAAAAAGCTGAATATTCTTGACATAAGCTGCCCCAAAATGTAATCAGAGAAACTTCTTTACATTTTTGTATTAATTAGCCATCTGAAATGATTTTGATTAGGCTTTCGTAATCCTGTGTAGAAAAATTGACTAGTTTTCCTGTTCTACTTAATGGATTTCAAATCCAGTTATTGTCATTTATGGTTGGAAAACACTTCATGACATTTGTGTATAAATCCCAAAGATGATCTGCGATGTCCTGGCCAGGAGGAAGGGTATAGGAGAGAGCTTGGGGCATGGTGCCTGGCCAGGAGGGGTCTTGGGACAGGGTATCAGAACAAGCTGGGAGTGTGGGGTTTTGGTGCAGGGAGTGAGGGAGATTTGAGTGCAGGGTCTGGACATGAGGATGATGTTTACCTGGCTTGGCACCCTGCTGCAGCAGGGAAAGCCTCCAAGCAGCACACTGTCATTCCCCCAGCAGGGGGGCAGAGAGGGAGCTTAGTTCCCCTAGCCTTCTCAATGCAGTGGGGATCCCAGCGCAGTTGCAGCCCCAGGTCAGGCTTCTTACTGGCAGGGCGGAGGGTGTAGAAACCCCAACCTTCCCCATCAGACCAGCAGGGTGGGGGATGGGGGGGGGGAGCCGCAGGGGAAAGAGAGCGACAGCACACGGGGGCCAGCCAGTCTGAGCTGAGGGTTGTGCAGCCTCTGCCGGAGCGCAGGCAGCAATTTAAAAATGCCAAGGTCTGGGAGTGGCTACTTAGCACCTCAGACTTGGCCATCCCTTCCCCTTCTGGCAGCAGTGGCAGCTGCACACGTGAAGGAAGGGGCTACGTGGCTGTATCGGAGGCTGCGTGGGACAGGGGCAGTCCTACGGGGTGAGGAGGGGTCTGCGTGGGGCAGGGGCAGCCACAGTGGGTGGTGGAGCAGCCAGAGCAGCGCGCTTCCAGAAGCCCGCCCCCACCAGCACAGCTCCAATGGGCTCTGCAGGGGGTAGGGGAATAGTTTTCTCGTGGAACCCTTAGATTAACTTTGTGGAACCCTGAGGGTCCACGGAACACCATTGGGAAACACTGCTCTAAGTGAAAACAGATCAATAGGGTATTGAGTGGTAAATGCAAGACTTCAATGGCAGCATGGGAACTGCTGTACAAGGTCCCCATCCTATCCTCAATGTTTACTCTGCCTTAATGCCTACAGGAAACCAGCCAGTTAGTAATAGTTCAGGAGCAGAGAAGGTATTTAAACAAAAAGTATATATTGAAATTGTATCCTCCCGCCCCCCCCCCCCCCCGCCACAAATAATATGTCTATTCCTATATCATAATTATGTAGAAGCAGAGGGATCCCAGAGGGATAAGGGATATTTCGGAAAAGGCTTTATTTTCCGAAAGATCCACGTCTAGACTGGCGCTTTTTTCCGGCAAAGCTCCGAGCTGGAAAAAAGCGGCAGCCATTTTTATGCTAATGAAGTGGGGGGATTTAAATCCCTGCTTCATTTGCAATTGCGATATGTCTAATTTGCATCCCTTTCACGAAAAAGAGATGCAGTCTAGACACAGCCTGTCTGTCTTAGCCTATGTGCTCCCATACCCATCAGGCATCAGCACAACAGACTGTAGTCATACCTCTAGGATTGTGTCAATACAAAGATATTTTGGCTTCTGTACTAACAGCAAATATGTAAAAAGGGGTGATTGAACATACAGTAATTACTCGTTTAACACGTGCCGCTTAACATGTTTTCATAATAGCACAATTTTTTTTAGGGAACGTTTTCGAATAACAAGGCTGTCCCCGAAATAATACAAAAATAATCAAGTGGCGGACTACTTCGTGCGGCGGTATAAGTTGGTGAAAACAGTGATAATACGCATAAGCGGATGAATACATGTGGTCACAGCACTCCTCAGCTCACTCACATGTTTATCTTTGTGTTTTAACAAACTGCGGCGATTTGTGTTGCTAGATATCTAATGTTGACATTGCCACCGCCACCTTTTCCATTATTTTTAATGGGAAAATTGACCCTGCATAGCACGTTTTCACTTAGCACGAACATTTTCAGAAATACATCTGTAGTGTTAAATGAGGAATTACTGTATATAGTTTTGGCTTGTTTGAAGAACACACACATACTTCACTCATGGCAAGGAAGAATTTCCACTGATAGCTAGAAGGAGGTGTCTAAGCTCTTTCCATGTGCTAGAGGAGTCTTGTCCTCTAGTTAGTTTCTACCATGTTTTATGCTACATTCTGTGGTTGCAGCACTTAACATAGGTGTTGTCATGCAGGAAGAGGAGAGGTATTGTGATTTTCCTTAAGAGATGAAAAATGCCCAAATGAACCACTGTTCCCTTAGCATGGCCCTCTCACCTATAAAGATTTATTGGACTCTCCAGCAGTTGTATTTCCTCTAACATAACATTTTTCAAAGAAACGTTGTTTAGTAGGACTGCTACTTTCTCTGCAGGGCAGCCTCACCAGCCTCCACTCCAATTACTGTTTCTAATAGTTTCCCTTAGGTGACACCAATCCACCTTCTAAAGGTGGTTATAAGACAGACTGGAGTTCTACTTTTCAGGGCTGTGCCTGTGGCGGGCTGCTCCAGCCCCGGCTGGTTAACTAACTCACCCGGTAAGGGTGATGCTTATTTGTTAACCATTTACATCCCTACTCCACACCCCTATGGAGGTGCTCCTCACAGTTTGGGGATCTATGTATTACAGGGACTCACCCATTCCTCCTCGCACCACTGTTATACACCCATTGCTGAAAAAATGGCATCGATATCATCGTTCTCACTAGCCGCTTTCACTGGAGGCCCAGGGTTTCTTTCCGATGCCACAGGTTTAGAGGTCCCCACTTTGTCTTGCTCTCCAGCGTGCTTGGTAGCACTACAGCCTCCTGATTTTCTTAGGTGAAGTGACTGCTCAAACCGCTGAACAGGAAAGAGGGACACAGCACCATGCATACTGTCTTCCAAAAGGGTGGAAGTGTTTTGTTGAACAAACTCCAGAGTCTTCTTTGAGACCAATTTTGACCTTCTGGACAGTTTGATCTTCCTTTGCTGCCAGGAACTTGTTCTGCAATACTGCTTTATCTGAGATGCCTTTTGCAAGCCAGAAAGAAGGAATTTGCAGATGGATGCTTTAACACAGCTGAGTTTTTTCTGCAAGCTTTAAGGAGAAGGGGGTGAAAAAAAACAAAGCAATTCTTCAATAAAGGGTTGGGGGAGCGGAGGAAACCACAAAATCGTTTCTGCTCTGGCAAAACTAACCCCCTGAGGTTTGGGAGACTTGGCATTAGGACAGTTCCCTTCTTCTCTCACAACCCAGAGATATAGAGCATCTTGAAAACCAGCAGCTCAAGCTTGCAAAAATCATCATCCCAGCTAAAAAAGTGTACTCGCCCTCCCTTACATCTTACTGCGGTGTAGAAAATAGTCACTCCATTTTAAAAAAAAGCCTCACTCCAGAGGAGTGAACAGAACAATGCATTCATAGAAGAATTCATCTCTTAATTGCATTTCCAGATCTGTGAAAATGCCAAGGGCTTGTAGACACAAGGACTTGCAGCCACTTAAATAAATTGAATTAAGCAAACAACTGCACCTTGGAGAACTTTATGAATAGCTTATTTCAGTTTCTCAAATCTATTCTTAACAGATTTAAGGTAAGCCAACCCCCCCAAAAAACATTCCTACCAGAACAGCGTCCACACAAGTGTTTATATTAACCTAGCTCCATTCATTTTAATTCAGCACTGATGTGGGAAAGTTGTATTGGTATAACTTATGTAAGGCCTAAATAGCAAGATACATTGAAGAAATGCAAAGTGTTGTGCCTGAAAATCCCAAAGCCATGTTAAGTTACACCTGCCTGCAGCCCTGAGCCTCCACATGCTGCAGCCGTTTGCTTTTCAGCAGCTTTGTTCTCAGAAAAAACGTTTCTGACTTAAGCTTTTTGCTTTTGCACGAGAGAACAGCTGTTTTGAGTGCTTCAGACAGTTCTCCGAAAGAGCAGGCTTCTCTAAACTTCAACACAAGAGATTTGGCATGCTGGGCTCTCGCTGCTTTTGCTTCAGAAAGCGTTAGTCTGAAGTCGACAGCCTGAAATAAAGACAAGGGAAGAAATTAGCATTAAAATAACATCAGTGTCCCAACTGATCCTCAACAGGATAGAAATGTAGAGATGAAGTGTTACAGAAATATGCTTTACTGCACAGGGAACCAATAGGACAGCCGTCAGGCTATTAAGAACAAGGGACTTGCTTTCAGGAGACTGCAATTCTAATCAATGCTAGCACCGAGTGAAATGATACCATCTACATGTTTTGTTATCCTTTAAAGTGCTACCAGATTATTTTTTTGTTTTTTAAGTTTTTCATGTTACAGACTAACTTGGCTACCCCTCTGAAACTTTTGAAATGGAGAGGTTTGTAAACTACTCAGAACCACAAGCGAAAGATAAAACTGCATCTTCTATGCAAAGCCTCCATACCCATCTGAGGAGCTAAGAAAAATAAGTCAGGGAAAATGCCATGGAAGCCACTAGCTTCAAAGTACCAGGGACAGGCTGTGCAAAGGGGAGAAAATATTTTCCATCACAAAAATACAGAAAAGGCCTTTTGAGTCCCGATGTCATCTTAACACAAATGTTTTACCTTGAAAGCCATACAAACCTCTTGAACTCTGGGTTTAAGTTGCCTACACAGGGTCTTGATGTCAAATCCCAACTGCTTCCCTGGAGAGGAAGAGAAAGAAGAGACAATCACTTAAAAATAAGAAGAGTTAGTTGGTTTTGGTAAGCATCTTTTCCATAAATGCACAGTTTCACCCCAGCTCAGCCGTTCAGTCTGCTGCACAGTCATACAGGAGACATCAGGTCATAAGCTGGCTCACATCAGGTCTCAGCATTGGCAAAGGAGGGGTGAGAAAATGAGCCTCATGCAAGATACATCTCAGCCAGCTAGATGCCAGGAACAAAATGGATAGTGAGATTTACCAAAAGCAACAGAAATATTCTGCCACTACCCTTCCTGGCAAGGAAGATTTAAAGTTAAAGTCCAGAATGAGGAGTCAGAGGATCTCAGTTCTGCTCTATGGGACTGTGTCAGTTTACTTAGTTACACTGTCTCCTCGTTTATAAAATGGGGAAGAGGAATTATACAAATGAGAGGCTTAAATCATTCATCTTTGTACAGGGTTTTGAGATCCTGTACTGTAATGCACAGAGGAAGTGCAAAGCATTACTTAACACTCCCACTCCCACCCCCACCCTAAAAAATAAAAAAAGTCTTCACACATTTCCAGAAAAACAACAAAACTGAAAAGCTTTACCCTTCAGAAGATGAAAGACAAGGGGTAAGCCAATGCACACCTCCTTGCCACTCTTCTGTTAAAGATCCCAGCTTGTCCCTGGCCCAGAGAAGCTTAAGGTGAAGCATTTCATGCTGGCACCTGTGGTATCACTGAGTGACACTTTGAGTGTGGCAGCTGGATTTTGATCCATTTTAAGCAAGTTAGGGTAGATCCTAGGGATTAAGGGCAGATTTTAGGGGTTAAGGGCACGTTGCTAACATGGCTCTCCCCATCAATACTGTATCAGGACTCGTTACCTTTGTTAGCTCTCTTCACCAGAACCGGCTTTCCAATGTCAATGGGGCGCTGGATGTTCGTCATCCTCTCACTGCCCCTTGTGGGAGCTTCCAGGCCTCTCCCTTTATTGGACCTGGGTGCTGCGGCAGGTCCTGCAAACAGTTTGTTCAGCCATCCAGTTGATTTTTTTGTTGCAAACACTTTAGATCTTTTCTTAATTTCCAAATAAAGGGGTCCCAGAAACTCAGTGATTTCAGAAGGAAAGTTAAACCCCTTAATATAAGGCATCTGCTGGGTCCTGGACACCGCTTGCAGCAACCCAGACAACACTCCATACAAAGAAATGAGGCTTTGTAATACGCACTGATAAAGAATCCTGGGAAAAGAAACACATGGACATGAGCCCGCTGCAGACGTAAGCAATTTAACTTGTATTCACTAAGCAAGTACGCTAATCTTTGCTACCTGCCTCTCCCTCTTCCCCCTAAACAAGTCCTTTTCCTCTTCCCCCACGTAAACTTCTGGGTCCTGGCTTCATGCTCTCTAACCATCTTCCCTTCCCTGTATCTCGAAACTGGTTCTTCCCTACAAACAGCCTAACGTCCGAGTGTAAACTGCTTCCTCAATGCTTGTTTCTGGCTTAAGGAAGCCGTCAAAGATCAACAGCAGAGGTAGGGTTGCCAATTTTGATTGGACATGTTCCTAGAGGTTTCATTCTGACACAATCTTTAATTAAAGATTAATCTCTAATTCCTTGAGACTCCAGGACAATCTTGAGCGGTTGACAACCCTAAGGACAGGGCAACAGAGCAGGACTTGATTCACTCTAAAAATCTCCATCTAATACCTACCTTCCAAAAATGCTTTTCTTCCCTAATACTCTATGTAATGGATTTTCCATAAATCCTGGAAATTAGCAGGTTCCCATGTAACAGCCAGCCAACCCCATTTAACGGGCATTCTTTCATGCACCAAACCATTTTGCATCAATTAAAGTGGACCTACTTATTATTTGATGATAAACACTTTCCTTTTCAATGTCAACTGGAAAAAATATTTCCTGTTCCAAACAGCACTTATACAATGTATGTATGCCATGAAGCTATGCCATGCAAGATGGTCTATGTTTTTTCAGTCTAGTTGCACATATTGTGCACGAAGCACTGTTGTGAAAAGACTGGAACAATTATTTCACTGAAAGAATTGGGAGCATTGAGGAATGGCTTTATTTTATCAGTTTCATTTTTATCATGAGGCAGGTCATATTGATTACTGGAAAATTTCAGATGTTAAAAAACATTGTGGCAAATTGATACAGTGTAGGATAGATAGGTATGTGCGCGCACACACACACACACACAAGCCCATCATAAAACGGGATTTTCAGCTCTCCTCCTGTCCTAGTCCCTTTCTATCTTGATCTTCTCTCCTGAGCCTCTGATCTCTCACTCCGTCTCTCTCTCTCTCCTCTCCTTCTACTGGCTGCCCCGCTCACTTTCTAAGCTCTCCTCCATCTCCTGCCTCTCTCTCCATCTCTCTTTCTCTTCTCCTCCCCCTCCTGCCTCTCATTCTCTCTTCTCCTCCTCCTCCCGCCTCTCTCTCTCTCTTGTTCTTCTCTTCCTCCTCCTCCTGCATGGGGAGCACGGAGCCCAAACAGCGGTTTGCGCCGCTTGCGGCTGCCTATGAGCTCCAGCTGCCCCCCTGCACTCCAGCACTGATCCTGCAGCCTCCCAGTTGTCCTCCACCTTCCCCTTTCCCCCACCCTCCTCCTGGCCAGGGTCTGGAGCCACTGTCATGCCACACATCACTGCCCCGTCCCCCCTTCGCCTTCCACTGGGCACTCGACTGACTTTTGCACCGCTCAGCCGGGCCGCCGTGAGGGAGCAAGCAGAACAAGTGGCCATTTGGGCTCCCCCGCGGCGGCCCGGCTGAGCGGCGCAGAAGTCAGTTGAGCGCCCCAGCGGAAGGCGAAGGGGGGGCGGGACGGTGACGTTCACGGCCAGGGGGCAGGGCCTGGAACTATTGTCATGCCGCACATTACCACCCTGCCCCCCCAGAGGCAACACCAAACGCTACAGTGTTACAGAGTCACAGACATTGGGCTACTATATATATATATGATACAGTGAAATGAACTTGGCTAAAAAAAAAAAAGCATGCTTTTCAGTTTATCTAAAGTGCAGGTCCCGTTAGTTGTCAGAAAGCCTTGAAACAATAGGGGTAATTGGAGAAATTGGACCTGGAAGATAACTGATAAGATGCGAGCAAAATTCCTCGTAGACATTCTAGCTACTAAGAGTGGCTCAAATGGATTTAAACGAATTCAGTCAGGTAGGGTCTAAAAACAAAGACATAGCAGGTTGAGGGTTCAACCTACCCTGTCCAACTGGAACCGGTGCTGTTGTAAATATCTGATCCATACTTATAATTGCATGTTACTATATGGGTGTGGTTATTGCTTAGGCAGTTAAGACATGTTTGGAGCAGCTGTATAAATATCATATGGCCTTTGGATTTAATAAAGCAATTTATGATTAAATGAGTGTCAAGGTAATACCATCTAGTATTAATAAATAATAATAATTCTAGCTACCCTGCCTGAGAGTGTAGTTGATGTTAGAGAAAATTGCTGAGTGTCAAGTATGCACACTTCACATCCACTACAACGTGTGACAAGATAGCCAATAAGAGAAGACAGCGTGTTTGGCAGGTCAAGAGGACACAAAAGTGGCATCAACTAGTGCTACACTACCCTATTCTGGTCGCAGCCAGCTCACTTAACCAGAAAGCATGTCTGTACTCAAACCTATTTGCTGGTGAAAGTACCCAAGGAAAAGACAGACAAAAACAGTAAAGATTAGTTTTCAAAATGTACAAACCATAATCTGCTCAACAATCCCAAAACCACAGTGTTCAAGAGGATGTATTCTTCCAAACACAGATGCTTAACAGACAGTCTGAAAATTAAACTGATTAAGGTTAGACAACAATATAACAACATTAAATGGAACTCAGCAGAGACTTTGCTTTAAAAAAAAGCTCAAGAAACAATATCTTTGGCATTGGTTTAGGCAAGAGCAGGCGTGGGCAATCATTTTTGATGGGAGGGGGGTACACCAAGAATTTGGAAAGTGGTCAAGGTCCATATTCTTCTAAGATGTTAATGGAGAAGGTGCAGCTTCTGGATGGAGGTTGGGTGCAGAAGGGAGCTCGGGTTAGTGGACTAGGGTTCAGGAGGGGATGTAGGGTCTGAGCAGGGGTGTAGAGTCTGGGAGGTTGTGACTTGGGGTGCAGGTGCAGAGGGTTTGGTCTGTTACTTGGGGCAGGGAGTCAGTGTAGTAGGGGATGGGTGTCAGATGCATGCAGCTTATTTTAGACTGCTCCAAGCCAGCGGCCCAGCCCTGTACTGTCTCCATGCCAGATGCCCCTTGGGGGGAATGGGCCCTTTGCATGCTGCTTGTGCCCAGGCAGCTCCCATTTTCTGATTTCCAGCCAGTAGGACCAGCAAGATTGTGCTGGGGTTGGGGAAGTGTGCAAAGCCCCTCCCTCCAAGGGCACACAGCATACAGAGATATCCAGCCTGCAGCCCAGTGCTATGAGCAGCGTGTCAGGGTACTGCAGGCAGGGAACATGCCCGAAGCTGCTGCTGGGCTGCAGGCTGGATATCCAAACACTGAGTTACTTGGGGCTGCAATGGCAAACTTGCCAGCAGCAGGAGTTTCACACCCAAGAACACAAATAGACGTGTGCAACTTGAACCTTCGATAAATTATAAAGAAATTCTTGACTGAGTCCAGCAGCAATTATAAGCCTACAGTTTTGTTCTCGTCATGAAGCTGAATGGAAAGTGCTGCTAGTAACATTGAAGAAAATCTTTTTGTAAAGAGAAAGGATACTCAAATGCTTTGCAGCAACACTCCAGTAAGCGCAGCAAGAGCTTGCAGCCTCCCAAGATCTTCACTGCCACCACTTCTAGCACAGGCTGGCTGGGAACAACACGCTCCCCTGCATTTTCAGATTTCTTTTTCCTACAGTGACAGCAGAGTGAGGAGATGGTGGTTACACTTAGCATTTCAAATTTTCTTCCCAAGTTTTTAGCGGCTTGGAGGTAATGCTGACTGAGACCTTGACTACTCTACAAAGTCAGTGCATACATCTATTCTTAAATGTGTGTCCCACCAACGTAAGCGCCCCGTTATGGCAACGCAGTCACACTGTGTTGCCGGGCGTCGCTGATATATGATCAAAACTAGAGATATTAAAAACTGTGTAATAGGATAACCATGTAACCACTGAAAATCTCATGCAGCTTAGCTTTATACGGCAGAGCCCGCAGTGAAGCCTCCTCGGGAATGAAGCAGGCAGCCCTTGCCTGCCCAACTCCTGGAGAGGATGCTTCACAGAGTAACCGACACCATTAACTAATAAATATCACTTATCGGTTAAAAAGTAAATCGTTTACAACTTCAGAAGCCAGAGGAGTAAGATGTAGAATCACTACAGGCACTTCAATATTGCCAATGGTAAACGGCTGGTTGGGAAACAAAATGCCTGCTTGTAGCTTTCTGAACAGTCCTGTGTTCTTAAAGATACAAGTGCCATGGACCTTCTAAGAGCAGGCAACACTGATGTTGGTGAAGCATCTTTAGTGATCCCCAATGCTTGTATAATCATAGAAAAGTTGTTGACGTCCTCTGTGGCCAGGTGGTCTGGTACCAAAACAGGGAGATACATGCTATCTATTGCTCCACTGCAGTTCGGGAATCCCACTACTGCAAATCTCCCCCTCCCCCATCCTACACATTGCCAAGAGTCAGTCCTGCGCAGCAGGAGAGGATTAATGATCCTGCATGCTTGCACGACAATGGTCCCTTGCGTGGATTTTCAAACTGCACAGTGGTTTCCCATTCACTGGTGGCAATTCAGCCTTGCAGGTTTTCTCGGTGTGATTGCCAGCTCTCGTTTTGTGCTGGAGAGATGGGTCGAGTTCAAGACGCAGATTCAGGAAAGTGGCCGTTTGCATCCAGAAGTGCTGCAGCCGCTGTTCATCATATCCAACTTGTATTACAATGAGATCACAGCAACCAATGCTTCTCTCCGAGGCCCAGAAGCGGCTCTCTACCCTCTGCAGCTGCTCCATGAATGACCCTAGCAACCTTAAGTTCTGTCCCACTGCAATCTCTCCTTCAAGAAATCATCATCATCTTCCTCTCTGATTTGGTGGCTCTTATGGCTCTGCAAATATTGGAGGATCGTGTGCCCTGTACTTCCAACACGGATGACAACAGCACAGAGCTGTACAGGCTTCTGTCAGAGATGGTGGACAGTGAGGATGGCTGTACAGTTTCATGGGTTTAAGACAACATTATGGGATACAGATGACACTTTGTGATGGAGACAATTGCACATTGAGAAGCTGAGCCCTTGTTCCCAGGCACTGCTGCACATCTCATTTCTGCCTCCACCATGTATTGCCAAGACTTTCCAAGAGACAAGTTGGATGGTGGCAGGCTGCTCACGAGGATACCTGCACAGTGCGATGGACCCTGGGTATTGACACAAACGCTCCTGGTAAGCATGCACAGAGACGATTCTAGGAGCCAAATATCTATGTACATAAACAATATACTATCTAAGACAGCTTTATGCCAATGACTTGTGTCCACCAAAGCTTGTAGTATAGACATGGCTTAAGATACTGAATCATGGAGAGACGTGCTAAAATATACAGTTTCATGCAACTTACTTGGGACACAATTCTGCCAGGTCTTGAATGGAGCCCATCAAGCTCATCTGATTTAAACGCTTTAAGCACTGTTCGACCTAAAAAGAGAACAACCACCTTTTGTTGATATTTTCAGAAAAACATGTTTCTTAGCCTAAGAGTTGTCCATTAAATTAGGCAACATCTCCCCTTCTCAGCCTGCCAGAGATAGTATGTCAGCCTTCTGGGTCTCTTACATTGGTACATTCAAATATCCAAAAAATGGTGGTGGGCTCTCTCCATGACATTATTGTGACAGGCCTTTACCCTGGAGCAAAGAGATTGTCGATTAATGCTGATTCTGTAGGTCGCATGTTGTTATTTTGGAGATTTAATTAAATTTTCACAAATAAAAATGCAAATGACTTTAGAAGGAGGCAAAATGACAAGTGGATACATGGGAATTCAGAAAACCTGGGTTGTAGCCTCAATTTTGTTAGAAAAATTAACAGAATGCTTCATTAGATAGAACACCACCACTTTTAAAAAATATTGAGAATATTCAGCAAAAATATTCAGCTTCACTTTTTAACGACCCCTTAAAAAAAAACTCAGTTCTTTCTCAAGGATAGCTTGCAGAAGTTGTCTTTCAAAGGCAATTTTTGGATTATTTACCCCATCCATTATAAATGTACCACCACTGTTTGTATTTCTATTCTTAATGAACTCTAAGAAGCATGAAATGGATAAAAACATCTAATTAGATTTATTTAACATCTTAATTTGAACACAAAGATTCTGAATATTGCTCTTATGGAAAAAAAAGTGACACTTCTCAATGACCACAAAAGAGTAGGAAAAGGTTCAAAAAACCCAGTGGGACTCACTCACAGGCTACATCTAGACTGCAAGCCTCTTTCGAAAGAGGCTTTTTCGAAAGTATCTTTCGAAAAAGCCTCTTTCAAAAAAGAGCATCTAGACAAGAAGATTTTTCAAAAAAGCGGCTCACTTTTTTGAAAGAGTCTAGACACTCTCTTTTGAAAAAGCCCTGTTTTTATGCAATAGCGCCTTTTTTCAAAAGATGACTTTCGAAAAAAGGCGTACGCGGCGGTAGTCTAGACACAGGTACTATTTTTTCGAACGTCGCGTTCTTTTGATTTACTGTCGACAGAACGCGGCGGTAGTCTAGACACAGGTACTATTTTTTCGAAAAAAGGCTACTTTTTTTAAAAAAAACCTGTAGTCTAGACACACCCACAATGTCTTAAAAACAAGTGAAGAGTGTTATGAAACTACCAAAATCCACGTTTGGAATAAAAACAAGCCTGGCAAATTTCTTCTTCAAAAGAAAGTTTTGAAAAAACTGCAGTGTACTTCTAACTGAGATACACAGAAGGCTCCTTCCAAGCATAATTATTTCAAGCAGCTTCATCTTACTGACCTGTTTCAGAGACAAATAGGTTTTATGGTGAGACATTGAGTTGTGGAAACCATAAAGGATTGAATGTAAAACTTTTCCTTCTGCATCCACAGCTTTACTGGTTAGCAACGTGTTGACCTTGTAACATCCTGTAATAACAGCTGGAAGACATTTCACTGGGGAATAGAGATAGAAATGTAGCCGTGTTAGTCTGGGGTAGTTGAAGCAAAATGCAGGACAATGTAGCACTTTAAAGACTAACAAGATGGTTTATTAGATGATGAGCTTTCGTGGGCCAGACCCACTTCCTCAGATCAAATAGTGGAAGAAAGTAGTCACAACCATATATACCAAAGGATACAATTAAAAAAAAGAACAAATATGAAAAGGACAAATCACATTGCAGAACAGAAGGAGGAGGCGGGGGGGTGGGAAGGGGGAGGAAGGAAGGTAAGTGTCTGTGAATTGATGATATTAGAGGTAGGCATTAAAATATTTGTTTTTGAGCTTCATACAAGATAAATCATATTAGCACCACATAAATGTATAAAAACCCATATGACAAAGCACAAGGACCAAAGAAACACACCTCATAAGCGCTAGGGACTACTTGTCTGGCTTTCAATTTGAACAAATACCAGTTTGTATTTCTTGCCTGCAATACATTCTTTTAGTCCTTACTTATGCCACGGTGCAGCTGCCCCAGCCCAGAAGCAGCCACACTGTGGCCTGGCTCCAGCTCCAGGGCAGTGGCCCACCACACAGCTCCACCGGACCATGCTCTGATAGTTGAGTAGCCACTCAACTAGTCGCTCTCCCCCCTCCCAGCTGCCTCTATCAGAGATAGGCTTTAAGCCATTTCCCCCCAGCACTGTCTCTACAGGGGGCAAGGGAGGTAGAGTCACAGCGGGGAAACAGTATGAGTGGGGACTGCTTCAGTCCCCACTTGCACCAGTTCCCACTATGGGAGCTTCTGCTTTTGAAATGTACAAGATCCCTGCAGGGCTCTTGTACATTTCAAAAGCAGAAGTGCCACACAGAGCCTGGGGCAAGCAGGGACTCAAGAAGTCTCTGCTCACCCTGTGCTCTCTGCAGCAACCTCCTATAAGAGAGGCAGCATGGGGGGAAGGAGGAGCTGGTGCTTGGGGGAACTGGATTAAAAGCTGGTTCCCCCCGCACCGTCTCTGGGGTGCTGCTTGCCCACACCGCTGCCTCTATTAGAGACAGCAGGGGAAGGAGAATAGGGGACGCTGCTGGGAAACAGCCCTTCTCCACAGGGGTCCCAGCAGGGAGCCCGGGCCACCACAAACAGGGGCTAGTCTGGTACACAGGGGCGTCTGCCGTGAACAGGGGCTACTGGACACAGAGTGACCAGGACCAAGCAGTCCTGGCTCGTGCGGATCACTGCTGCTCTGCATTTTAAATGTAGCAAGAGCCCAGTTGCTCTTACTACATTTAAAATGCAGAGCAGCAGCACAGGTGGCCCCAGAGCCGGCTCCTGGAACTACCTCCGCTGTGGCTCTGAACAGCAGTGCTTATTGACTAATTGTATAATCGATACAAATTGTATCGACTATTCAGTTAGCCAGATCATTGCATTTTAACATCCTTAGCTGGGACTGGGGCCACAGTACAGCTGTCCAAGAAGGGACAACCCCACCATGGCCTGGCTCCAGCTCCAGCATACGGGGCAGCGGGGATGGCCAAGAGAGCCATATTTTGGTGCCATACTGAGCCATAGGTCTCTGCCCCCTGCTATAACACATGGAGGTTTCATTAAAACAGAATCGTAAGTAATTTACTTCTCCCCACTTTTTCTGTTTTCCATTCCTCAGAGTTTGGACAGCTCAACAAGCTTAGGCAGTATCACTAGGACTAGTCTAATATTTGGATTTGTGTTCTTAAAACTGCAAAGGAATAGAAATAAAAAGGTGGCGAGTTGGGGGAGGGTTTTTTTAAAAAAAATATAAATCACAATCACTTCTAGTTTGGTTCTGCTCTGTATTTAAACCACAAACCCACAGAACTCTGGGACTGATCAAGCCCTTACAAAAAAAAAAAAAAATCTATTCCCAGATCCTTGACAATGCCAGTGACACAAACGCGTCGTGCAATATGTGCCGGGCTGTTTCAGAGCCACAGAGGATATGAAACACGTCAAAGATGCTTCAAGTTTGCAGACAGGAAAGGCAAAAGCTAAGGGCCCCGCACGTGGGGGTGGGCGCGTGGGGAGTTCTCCACAGATGCAGCAGAGCCTGTTTGCACAGTTCTACTCTTCTCCCCCCCC